ACACGATATTCAAAAACATTTTTTTAATTTTTGTGGAGAAATACGGATTTTGCAGTTAAGTTCCGCCCTCTTGGCGCACGACGAATAAAAAATCATCACAATTGAGATCGGGTGGGTGGGCGGGGCTTACTTTTTGCCTGTTCTTCTTAACGTGTGTATTGTCTTCTTTCGTTAACAAGAAACTGTAAAACATGTTCAAATGGTAATTTTTGTAGGGAAATATCTTTATTACGCTCCGCCCCTCGTTCTGACACCGAATAAAAAATTCATCACGATTGAGATCGAAACGGTTGGGTGGGGCTTATCTTTTGGCTTTCTTTTTTGCTTAATACATTTAGTTTGACGATTTTTTCTATTTGTCGTATACCAAAAGGGCGGAGCTTAACTGCAAAATACTTATTCCTCTTGATTCACGGCGAATAAAAAAAAGTCAACATAATTTTGCGTTTTTATTAATATTTGTAGTCTTCTTATCACAAGAAACTTAAAACATGTCTAAAATGCTAAATTTTTGTAGAGAAATATGGATTTTGCAATTATGCTCCGTATCTCGGTATTCTTTAAGGAACACGATATTCAAAAACATTTTTTAAATTTTTGTGGAGAAACACGGATTTTGCAGTTAAGCTCCGCCCTCTTGGCGCACGACGAATAAAAAAATCATCACAATTGATATCGGGTGGGTGGGTGGGGCTTACTTTTTGCCTTTTCTTCTTAACGTGTGTATTGTCTTCTTTCGTTAACAAGAAACTGTAAAACATGTTTAGAATGGTAATTTTTTGTAGGGAAATATCTTTATTACGCTCCGCCCCTCGTTCTGACACCGAATAAAAAATTTATCACGATTGAGATCGAAACGGTTGGGTGGGGCTTATCTTTTGGCTTTCTTTTTTACTTAATACATTTAGTTTGACGATCTTTTTTATTCGTCGTGTACCAAAAGGGCGGAGCTTAACTGCAAAATACTTATTCCTCTTGATTCATTTTTGAAAAGAATTGATAGAATCCCAAAGTTCCTTCGTGTTTTATTTTATTTGAAATAATCTTGGGGGCTTCTGGTGTTTTATTTTTGAAAAAATCTGAAAGAATCTCGGAGGCCCCTGGTTTTGCATGTTTGAAAATAATAGCAAGAATCTCCAAGTTCCCTGGTATTTTATTTTCGAAAAAAATGGAAAAAACTCCGGGGTTTCTGATGTTTTGTTTTTCGATAAATCGAATTTCGAGAAATTCAAGAACTTTGAGAACCTTAAAAAAGGAGTTTAAGAACACTAAAAACTGTGAAAACTTGGAGAACTTCGATAACTTCGTGGGTTTCGAGGATTTTGAGAACTTTGATCATTTCAAAAAGTTCGAAAACTGTAAGGACTTTCAAAAAACTTTGAGAATCCTAACATCATTAAAAACTTTAAGAACTTTAAGAATTTTGAAGACTGAGAAAGTTGATAGTTTCAAGGATTTTGAGAATTTTAAGATCTTTCACAACTTCAAATCTTCAAAAGCTTTAATGACTGAGAATTTTAAGATGTCTGAGAACTTCAACTTTGCAGACGTTAAGAACTTTGATGACTGTAAAAACCGCAAGACTTTGAGAACTTCAAGAGTTTAGAGCATTTTGAGAACTTCGATCGTTTCAAAAACTTTGAGAACTATGAGAACTTTAAGAACTTTAAGAATTTTGACAATTGCGATCGTTTCAAAAATTTCGAAAACTTTAAGAACTTTGCCAAATCTGTAATAATAATACATAATTAATTAAATTTCTGTGAGTCCTGTTGCTTCAAGAATTTAAAAAGTCTAAAATAGTTTTGGAGGTCTCTGGTCTTTCGTTTTTGAAAAGAATTGAAAGAATTCAGAGGATCCCTAGTGTTTTATTTTCGAAAAAATTTGAAAGAATTTCGGTGGCTTCTGGTGTTTTATTTTTGAAGAAATTTGAAAGAATTTCTGGGTCTTCTGGTGTTGTGTATTTGAAAATGATTGACAGAATTTCCAGAGGCCCTTGGTACTTTACTTTTTAAAAGAATTGAAAGAATCTGGGGGACAGTCGCTGTTTTATTTTTGAAAAAATCTAAAAGCATTTCGGAGGCCTCTGATCCTTCATTTTTGAAAAGAACTTAAAGAACACTGAGGTTCCTGGTGTTTTATTTTTGAAAAAAACCAAAAGAATTTCAAGGACTTCTGGTGTTGTGTTTCGAAAATATGTAATTGAAAGAATTTCCGGCAGCTTTGGTGATTTATTTTTGAAAAGAATTGAAAGAATTTCGGGAAGCGTCGCTGTTTGATTTTTGAAAAAATGTAAAAGAATCTCGGAGGTCTCTGGTCTTTCATTTTTGAAAAGAATTGAAAGAATCTCGGGGGTGTGTGGTGTTTTATTTTTAGAAAAATTGAAAGAGCTCGGAGACCCGGGGTATTTTTTTAAATTAGCCGTTTTTTAAGAATTGAAAGAATTTTATTTTTGAAAAAATTTGATGGAATCTTACAGATGCCTTGTATTTTAACTGAAAAAATTTGGAAGGATCTCTGTGGTCACTGATGTTTTATTTTTGAAAAAAATATATAAAAAAAGCTCGAGCCCTCAGGGTGTTTTTTTAATCGAAAGGATCTAGGGGGTTTCTGGTGTTTTATTTTTGAAAAAAAATGAAAGAATGTGGTGATCCCTGGTCTTTTATTTTTGAAAAGAATTGAAAGAATCGCGGAGACCCTAGTGTTTTATTTTTGAAAAAATCTGAAAGAACCTCGGAGGTGTCTGGTACTTTATTTTTAGAAAAACTGAAAGACTCGGGGACCCAGGTATTTTTTTAAATTAGCCGTTTTCTAAGAATTGAAAAAATTTCAAAGATCCCTCATATTTTATTTTTGAAAATTTTGATAGAATGTCACAGATCCCTGGTGTTAATTGGAAAAATTTGAAAGAATCTCTAGGGTCACTTTTTTTTATTTTTGAGAAAAAAAAGTAAAAAAAAACTCGGGACCGCGGGGTGTTTTTTTTTTAATCGGAAGAATCTAGGTGGTTTCTGGTGTTTTATTTTTGAAAAGAATCGAAAGAATCGCGGGGACTCTAGGTGTTTTATTTTTGAAAAAACCTGAAAGTGTTTAATTTTTTAAAGGGATTGAAAGAATCCCGGGGTTTCCCGGTGTTTTATTTTCGGAAAAATTTGAAAGAATCTTGATGTTTGGTAGTGTTGTGTTCATGAAAAAAATTAAAAGAATCTCGAGAATCACTGGTGTTTTATTTGTTTAAATGATTGAAAGAATCTCGGAGATCTCTTGCATTCAATTTTTGTAAAAGTTGGAAGGAATTTCGGGGGCCTCAGGTCTTGTGTTAAAAAAAATAGAATCTCGGGGTTCCCTGGTGTTTTGTTTCGAAAAAATTAAGAGTCTCTCACGTGATGTTTAATGTTCTTGAATTTGAAAGAATCTCGGGAACCATTATTTTGAAAAAATTGAAGGAGAATAAAAATAGAATAAAATCTACTAATAAAATACATGGTTTTCTATATGAACATATTGAAATATTGATAAATGATAATTGTAAAGTTTAAACGTCACATCGGAATTTCAAAAATAAACTATGGTTATAAAGGCGAATAAGACGTATTCTACTTAAAAGAAAACTAACTTGTGATAAGTATACCTCGAAAACGAAACACTCTGTGTAGTTGACAATAAAGTTAATCTATGTTAGTCAAAAATCGGCAAAATCTTAGTCTCTGATTTTTTTTTTTTATTTCTAAATAATGAGATATCGACGATCCACTCTGTATATTAATTAAGATTACTAATTTGGTTTTAAGTTTGTTATAATTTGACAAAAATAAAAATATATCTGTACTCATCGATGGAACGATTAAAGAACGTTAGAGCGATGTCAAATTACATATTTTATGACGTTCCACAGCTTGCAGAATACGAAAGTGCAGGTTGCTTACTTTTGTTTTCTATACATCAGCTATGATTTTATCAGAGAGAATACATTATTTTTGTGTGTGTTAATCACAAAATCCTGAGATAAACAAACATGTTGCAGTTAGTTCAAATCTGCGTAGCCCAAGGTAGGCATAGCTCTCGTTCTTTACCACTGTGTGTTTGCCAAACAGTCTAATTGATAGCGAATTCTAAACACATTTGTACAGTTTATGATGAGTATAAAGTTATTTCAAGATTCTCAATTTTAATATGTCACAATGCGCAACATCGTCCACAAACTTCAATAAAATTAAAGGTCTACGCTTGAAACCTTGTCGACTTCATTCTAGTGTTTATTCTCAGACGGCAAAATTGCATCAGTAAACACCACTTAATTTCTCGTCTAAAATTTAAAACCTGAAACTCGTTTCCCAGAGGTGTGACTGACGGATCGAACAAGTTCCAACTTCCGTGATTTATTATTTATGAAAACAATATCGAAAAACACACACAAGAACACGTGCACATAAAATTTGCAATATAGCAAACGAGCACAAAAAAGCACCAGTTGTAGTTCTGGTTCTGCTAAGTAAACATTGACCAAATGACCGCCGACAGGTTTATTTGAAGATCCCCACGAGGCTGTTAACATTGTGCCACAAATAATTTATAACTCGAAACTTTCGATTCCTACAGGCACCCAAACACGTCATGAATCGTTTTTTCAGCCCGATGCACGTTCGCGAATTCAAAACCGGAACTATAGTTAGGTTTCGCACGTACGTCTGGAATTATGTAACTCAGAATTGTAAATTAGAATGAATCAATTTTTGTCGTTACGGGAAGAACGCGCGCGTTTGTGTTTCCTAATTTAGACTTTATCTCAAACCCAACATTTACACTCTTTATCAGCTCATCAGTAATTTGGACGTCGCTCGACCGAAGTGCATCGTGAAAAAATTAGTTCGCTTTTCCCTCGTTTTTCCGCGTCCGTGTTATCACGGTCTCGTTTGCAACAACAAAAGTGTGCACTCACACTATCCATATTTATAGCGCTATCACATCGTAAAGTTCAGCGGCCGGCTTGCCTCCCTTACCTGAGCCTTATTGAACTTGTCATAGCACCTCGTCCCCTTCAGGCCGATCGCCGGCGTGATTTCGGCCTCCTGAGCAGAAACGTGTCCAAAAACGCACAGAACAAACACAGTCAAAGGCACTCGGCAGCGCATTTTCGGGCTCAATTCGGGCTCGATCCGAGAGTGCGGTCCATAATCACTGCGATTTTCGAGTTTCACGAACGTCTCCTCGCACGCATCATCGACTCTGGGAAACACGACAACAGACACAACACTACACAGACGCCGCGCCGAATGCTCTCGGATGTTGTGTGAGCTCCAGATGCCCGCGGAGACTGAACACTTGTGCGGAGATTACTTTCCGTCTGAACAGGGCTGCATTTAGGAAAATGCCACCCGCCGACTAGACTCCCGGAGGGCCAGAATTACGCCGATGCCGACGAGTTTCCGGTATCTAAACATGCTCTTATCGGCTATCGGTTCTGAAAGGCTGCTTGCTGGATGACTGGTGGAAATGGGATGGGTCGAGGAGGAGGTCGAATTTGAGGAGGGCCGCAGGGCGACGACGAGGATGGGACGGCGCTGGTTGAGATAAGGCGCGGGTTTATGGGGCTTTGTTTTGGCGGCGTGCAACGGTATCGCGATTCTAAGAGAAAGTAATATAAACAAAATGTTACGCCGGTATGCTGGGCTTGTGTGACGGCGTAATCGCGTTACCTAAACGCGATTGGCGGATCAAGCTTAACTGGAATTGAGAGCGTTGGGTTAATGCTAAGTAAATAAAATGGGATTATTGGGTTAGGTTGTATTGCAGATCCATAGATACGGATGTTTTAGCTGATGACCGACAATTGTTTTTAATAGAAACTTCAGTTTTCTTTACATTATATTATAAGAGGAAAACGGTACTGTATATTTATGACATGTAACATTTTATATTATACATATTATAAACGTACAGTACCTATATTTTAGAAATTTATTCTGTTTTGATTTGTTGTAATTATACAATTACCCCAGTTCTGGAAAACAGATTGGGAACAAAAGGCAATTTATCAAAAATTCCATTAAAAATTCAAGGAAAAAATTTTATGTCTTTTAAGGACTTTGGGAACTTCTAAAACTTCGGTAATTTCGGAACAGTGCGAATATTGAGATTTTTGAGAACTTCAAAACTTCAAATTTTTTAAGAACCTTGACAACTTGGAGAACTTTAAAAAGGACTTTGAGAACCTTAAAACTTTTTTTTTAATTAAAAGCTTTGAGACGTTCGAAAACTGAGAACTTCGAGAACTTGAAAATTTCGCAAATTTTGCGAACTTTTCTAAATTTGTAAAAGTTCCAGAATTTTGAGACCTTTGAAAACTTCAAAACTTAAAAAAAGAACTTTAAAACCTCTGACAGTTTGGAGAACTTCAATTACTTCTGAAATTTCGAGGATTTTAAGAGCTTTGAGAATTTTGAAAGTTTGATCATTTTAAAAATTTCAAAAACATTGTGAACTTCAAAAACCGTAAGTATTATGGTAACCTTGAGGACTTTATATTCTTAATATAATTAAGAACTTTACAAACTTTATAAACTTTGGGGAGTTTAAGAAATTTGGAAACTTCAAGAACTTTGAGAATTTTAAAAGCTTTCAGAACTTCAAAACTTCAAAAATTTTAAGAATTTCGAGAACATTGACAATAGTGAGATTCTTGAGAACTTCAAAACTTTAAAATGTTTAAGGACCTTGACAACTTGGAGAACTTTAAAAACGGACTTTGAGAGCGTTAAAACTTTTTTTAATTAAAAGCTTTGAGACGTTCGAAAACTGAGAACTTCGAGAACTTGAAAATTTCGCAAATTTTGCGAACTTTTCTAAATTTGTAAAAGTTCCAGAATTTTGAGACCTTTGAAAACTTCAAAACTTAAAAAAAGAACTTTAAAATCTCTGACAGTTTGGAGAACTTCAATAACTTCTGGAATTTCGAGGATTTTAAGAACTTTGAGAATTTTGAAACTTTGATCATTTTAAAAATTTCAAAAACTTTGTGAACTTCAAAAAGTGTAAGTATTATGGTACCCTTGAGGACTTTATATTCTTAATATAATTAAGAACTTTACAAACTTTATACACTTTGGGGAGTTTAAGAAATTTGGAAACTTCAAGAACTTTGAGAATTTTAAAAGCTTTCAGAACTTCAAAACTTCAAAAATTTTAAGAATTTCGAGAACATTGACAATAGTGAGATTCTTGAGAACTTCAAAACTTTAAAATGTTTAAGGACCTTGACAACTTGGAGAACTTTAAAAACGGACTTTGAGGACGTTAAAACTTTTTTTAATTAAAAGCTTTGAGACGTTCGAAAACTGAGAACTTCGAGAACTTGAAAATTTCGAAAATTTTGCGAACTTTTCTAAATTTGTAAAAGTTCCAGAATTTTGAGACCTTTGAAAACTTCAAAACTTAAAAAAAGAACTTTAAAAACTCTGACAGTTTGGAGAACTTCAATAACTTCTGGAATTTCGAGGATTTTAAGAACTTTGAGAATTTTGAAACTTTGATGATTTTAAAAATTTCAAAAACTTTGTGAACTTCAAAAACTGTAAGTATTATGGTAACCTTGAGGACTTTATATTCTTAATATAATTAAGAACTTTACAAACTTTATAAACTTTGGGGAGTTTAAGAAATTTGGAAACTTCAAGAACTTTGAGAATTTTAAAAGCTTTCAGAACTTCAAAACTTCAAAAATTTTAAGAATTTCGAGAACATTGACAATAGTGAGATTCTTGAGAACTTCAAAACTTTAAAATGTTTAAGGACCTTGACAACTTGGAGAACTTTAAAAACGGACTTTGAGAGCGTTAAAACTTTTTTTAATTAAAAGCTTTGAGACGTTCGAAAACTGAGAACTTCGAGAACTTGAAAATTTCGCAAATTTTGCGAACTTTTCTAAATTTGTAAAAGTTCCAGAATTTTGAGACCTTTGAAAACTTCAAAACTTAAAAAAAGAACTTTAAAATCTCTGACAGTTTGGAGAACTTCAATAACTTCTGGAATTTCGAGGATTTTAAGAACTTTGAGAATTTTGAAACTTTGATCATTTTAAAAATTTCAAAAACTTTGTGAACTTCAAAAAGTGTAAGTATTATGGTAACCTTGAGGACTTTATATTCTTAATATAATTAAGAACTTTACAAACTTTATACACTTTGGGGAGTTTAAGAAATTTGGAAACTTCAAGAACTTTGAGAATTTTAAAAGCTTTCAGAACTTCAAAACTTCAAAAATTTTAAGAATTTCGAGAACATTGACAATAGTGAGATTCTTGAGAACTTCAAAACTTTAAAATGTTTAAGGACCTTGACAACTTGGAGAACTTTAAAAACGGACTTTGAGGACGTTAAAACTTTTTTTAATTAAAAGCTTTGAGACGTTCGAAAACTGAGAACTTCGAGAACTTGAAAATTTCGAAAATTTTGCGAACTTTTCTAAATTTGTAAAAGTTCCAGAATTTTGAGACCTTTGAAAACTTCAAAACTTAAAAAAAGAACTTTAAAAACTCTGACAGTTTGGAGAACTTCAATAACTTCTGGAATTTCGAGGATTTTAAGAACTTTGAGAATTTTGAAACTTTGATGATTTTAAAAATTTCAAAAACTTTGTGAACTTCAAAAACTGTAAGTATTATGGTAACCTTGAGGACTTTATATTCTTAATATAATTAAGAACTTTACAAACTTTATAAACTTTGGGGAGTTTAAGAAATTTGGAAACTTCAAGAACTTTGAGAATTTTAAAAGCTTTCAGAACTTCAAAACTTCAAAAATTTTAAGAATTTCGAGAACATTGACAATAGTGAGATTCTTGAGAACTTCAAAACTTTAAAATGTTTAAGGACCTTGACAACTTAGAGAACTTTAAAAACGGACTTTGAGAACGTTAAAACTTTTTTTAATTAAAAGCTTTGAGACGTTCGAAAACTGAGAACTTCGAGAACTTGAAAATTTCGAAAATTTTGCGAACTTTTCTAAATTTGTAAAAGTTATAGAATTTTGAGACCTTTGAAAACTTCAAAACTTAAAAAAAGAACTTTAAAAACTCTGACAGTTTGGAGAACTTCAATAACTTCTGGAATTTCGAGGATTTTAAGAACTTTGAGAATTTTAAAAGCTTTCAGAACTTCAAAACTTCAAAAATTTTAAGAATTTCGAGAACATTGACAATAGTGAGATTCTTGAGAACTTCAAAACTTTAAAATGTTTAAGGACCTTGACAACTTGGAGAACTTTAAAAACGGACTTTGAGGACGTTAAAACTTTTTTTAATTAAAAGCTTTGAGACGTTCGAAAACTGAGAACTTCGAGAACTTGAAAATTTCGAAAATTTTGCGAACTTTTCTAAATTTGTAAAAGTTCCAGAATTTTGAGACCTTTGAAAACTTCAAAACTTAAAAAAAGAACTTTAAAAACTCTGACAGTTTGGAGAACTTCAATAACTTCAAGAATTTCGAGGATTTTAAGAACTTTGAGAATTTTGAAACTTTGATGATTTTAAAAATTTCAAAAACTTTGTGAACTTCAAAAACTGTAAGTATTATGGTAACCTTGAGGACTTTATATTCTTAATATAATTAAGAACTTTACAAACTTTATAAACTTTGGGGAGTTTAAGAAATTTGGAAACTTCAAGAACTTTGAGAATTTTAAAAGCTTTCAGAACTTCAAAACTTCAAAAATTTTAAGAATTTCGAGAACATTGACAATAGTGAGATTCTTGAGAACTTCAAAACTTTAGAATGTTTAAGGACCTTGACAACTTGGAGAACTTTAAAAACGGACTTTGAGAACGTTAAAACTTTTTTTTTAATTAAAAGCTTTGAGACGTTCGAAAACTTTGAGAACTTCGAGAACTTGAAAATTTCGCAAATTTTGCGAACTTTTCTAAATTTGTAAAAGTTCTAGAATTTTGAGACTTTTGAAAACTTCAAAACTTAAAAAAAGAACTTTGAAACCTCTGACAGTTTGGAGAACTTCAATAACTTCTGGAATTTCGAGGATTTTAAGAGCTTTGAGAATTTTGAAAGTTTGATCATTTTAAAAATTTCAAAAACTTTGTGAACTTCAAAAACTGTAAGTATTATGGTAACCTTGAGGACTTTATATTCTTAATATAATTAAGAACTTTACAAACTTTATAAACTTTGGGGAGTTTAAGAAATTTGGAAACTTCAAGAACTTTGAGAATTTTAAAAGCTTTCAGAACTTCAAAACTTCAAAAATTTTAAGAATTTCGAGAACATTGACAATATTGAGATTTTTGAGAACTTCAAAACTTCAATTTTTTTAAGAACCTTGACAACTTGGAGAACTTTAAAAACGGACTTTGAGAACGTTAAAACTTTTTTTTTAATTAAAAGCTTTGAGACGTTCGA